TGTTTGTCTCCCCTTCCCTCACTGTAACTATATTGTTGGGCATTTGACTGCATGCTCGTTTGTACCAAATGTACTTATTGGGTGATGCAGGCTCCTAAAAAGGGAGTGAAATAATTTATTGTTTTTTGTTTATATATATGTTTATATATACACGGGTTTTAATTGTGTTGGTGTTTGGTAAGAGACATGTCTGTGTGACTGTGGAATGCAGTCACATTGGTGTGGTTTGTTCTGCACCTGATGGGGGAATATTTCTTTTTGTTTTCTTTTCTCTTATTCTCTTTTCTGCTTCATGTGCTGCGCTGCTTTTCCTGTGTGTGTCTGTGTAGATGTTGTGTTTGCACTGCTCTTTGTGTTCTTGTTGTTTCTTTCTCTTCTTCCTTGTTACCACAGACCCAAGCAACCCACAGTGACAATCATGACAACGATGTTCGTCCAACTGCGCCGCGTGGTGTACCTGTTGGTACTTCTGCAGTGCTGTGCGTGTGTGGCATATGCGCAGAGTGGCTCAACTGTAAATGATCATTATTTTAAACAGAAGGTTGAGGACTTTAAGCTTATGTATAGTGCGTTAAAAAATTCAATAAGTAATGCGGAAGAATCTTCAATGGCTATGGATAAAGAATTTGTTGCATGTGATGTTTATTCTTCACATGCATTAAATGCCGTGTATCAACTGAAGAGCCTCACCGAAGGAGCGGAGGCGGAGATGAGTCCGATTAACACTTCTACCAGACCTGAGGAGATGAAAGAACAGCGGAAGAAGTTTGAAACTGCACTACAAGAAGCCAAAGATGACCTATCTAATGTCACGTTAGCAGTGAACAAAACAAGAGAGGCGGCTGAAGAAGTTAACAAGGCATTAAATGAGGTGGAAAGACTTGCTGAGACTGTCATCTCCTATGCTGAGGAAATTTTGGATTCTCCTCCAAAATTATCTCGGTCGTCGTACCAAATATTTTTGGGAGTGGAGGAGTTAGTTAGGGCCGGCAAAAGAGAAGGTGAATACGCTCAGTCTTTCGCTACAGAAATAAAACCGAAGGTTCAACCGGCCTTGGACGCTGCGAAGAAGGTGGAGGAACAGGCAGAATCTCTGAAAGTGGAAGTGGAGTTGGCGGTTCGAACATTCAACGAGTACTTGGAGAAACATGGTCTTAACCCTGAAGAAGAAACAACGGATTCACAGCAGAATACTTCAGAGAATGAAGTGCCTGAAAAAGAAGGGGCTGACGAGATTATTACGGGAAATGAAAATGGAGAAGGCAATGTTCAAACGCCAGAGGAAAATGAGGGCTCTCAGAACAACACTCCTAAGCCCAGTGATTCATCTTCTTCTGGAACCTCGCCATCGCAAGAAGAGGAAACAACTAATTCTCCTTCTTCTTCAGATTCAACCTATTTGGATAATACACGGCCAAGTGACAGCAGCAGCAGTCCTGCATTGGTGCACAGTCCCTTATTGCTGCTTCTTGTTTCGATGTGTGTGCTGGGCTGCACTGCGGTGTTCTAATGGAAGCTGCTGGTGGACGTGTGCATGGCGAAGGTGAATCCCTCTATATTCTTTGCGTGTTTCTTTCTCTGCATGGCGTGTGGGTTGATTNCACCGCCCACGTAATGAAAACACATTTCTTTGTTCTCACCTTCTCTCTCGGTGTTGTCACTCACGGCATTGCCACGAACATGTTTGTGCCCTTGTGGTGTTTGTTGTTTGTTGTGTGGCTTGCTTGGGTGACTGCAGCCTGCGGGGAGGGACTGAGACTGTTCTGCTTCGGCTTCACGTAATGGGTCTGTTTTTTTTTTCTTTTCTTTTTCCCTTTTTGGGGTTAAGTTGATGTGCTGGTGTGTGTGGATGCTTCTCTGATGAGAGTGGTACCTGTGATTATTGTATTGTGAGTGCCTTGTGTGCTGTTGATATCCTGTTGCTGTTGTTTTTTCTTTTGTTTTTCTTTTCCTCCTCTCTGCAGGTGTGTGGCTCCGTGTACATTTTAGGGAATGCGGCAGGGCCTCTCTGATATGAGCATGTGAGAGTGTGTGTGTGTGCGGCTGTCTGTGCCATTGTGTGTGGGCTGTGAGTGGGAAGGGGGCTTTGTGCTGCTGGA